TCACCATCAAGCTTTGAATGTGATAGAAGCACAGTGTCTGATGTCGGTTGTAAATACATAGAGGACGTGAAACATTCCAGTGGACAATGCAACACTAACCAGGATGAATGGTCAAATGTCAGATACTCTATTTCCTCTGTTATCTGTGTGAAAGTGATACATTATATAAGATTAGTGTCTGTTCCTAAGTGCAACTGTAAAATCTGTCAACCTTTTTTTACTGAAGAGAAAATGTTGAAAAGGTTATTTAATCAGATCTCTGAATACCTGCAGTTACTCTACGTAACTTTTCTCTCCAGTCATACAAGGACAGAAAAAGAATCTCAAACATGTCAGAATATATCAGAAAGGACAAGTATACTAGGCTGCAAAAATATTCAGCAACAGAGTCCTAGGCACACCACCATCTAAAATCACAGGGGTCTTTTTTTCATGCACGTTTGACCCACAAATCTGACCCACCGACCAATAGTAAATCATCTTGACAGTACTGACCTTTGAGGGAATGAGATGGAAAGTCAAAAATGTAACTTGAGTCTTCCTTAATATTTTTTTTCTGTTGCTTACGTTTAGTCAGTGTGACATTTAGTGTCTTGCTTCATTGATCTTTTCACACAAGATGACTTCCTCCAGCCATGTTAAAAATGCACAGAGCAGGGAAATAGGCAGCAAGATATCAGACAAGCTTTAGAAGGAGGCATTAGATTGGATTGAGTTCACACAGCACTGCATATGTCCTTCCAAAGCCAAGCTGAACAGGATTTACCCATATGTTACAGCCACATTAGATATACAGTATGTACATGGAAAGGCTGGGCTTTGACTCATCATTAAATTAAAGTTCTGGGAGGAAATATTTCAATTGTTCAGTCTAATAATTAGAAAAAGACTTGACCCTTGACCATGCTCTTGCTATAATGGGTTGCTCAGAGGGAGCCTTTGTGCTACCACATGAGACCCAGCAAGCTTTCATGTTTGGTATGCTTACAGTTAAAAGGGTTATTGAGAGAGTGAACGTCTCTGTCTTGCTTTAGGAAGCGGCCTAATGATACAATTTCCTGTTTATATTTAAAAGAGATAAGCTTCTCTTCAGCTCATACTCAGGTTTGTACAGATTTGAAAAGTTTTCTTAGAGATAATACTGGAGTAAGGTATGTGTACATTGACATGTATGTTAATCACTAAGTGTGCTGCATTATATGCATATGTAAATCATTCTTCATTTTACATATGGTTTGGTAGGAGCTATTATTTAAAGATCCCCTCCAGAGTTTTTTTTATAAAAATACTCTGCCTTGAAAAATATAATGTCTAACAAAGTTTTCCCCACAACAAAATTCACTAAACTTCTGAAAAAGACCTGAAAACATGTCTGGTCTTTGCCCTTCACTGTAAAATCCAGTGTTCATGCATATTCAAATATATGCAAATGATCTCGGTCATCAGGCACCGCCCAGCTGAGGTAACAGTGTACCAGGACACTAAAGAAGGAGTGATTATTATAGAGATTAAGCTCTATATGTTTAAGCCTCATCCAGACCCAGACTCTGATTATCATCTGTGACCAGAATGGTTAGTGTGGTTAGCGCCTTGTCTCTGTATAACACTAGTTGTTGGTTTGCAATCAGTGGCTAACATGGTCATAGTGGTTTTACATTGTAATTATGTAGCATTAACTGTGTAAAAGAGATCTATGAAAAATGTGAAGACATATTTACAGTCTGGCTGAGAGTTTCATAGTATGACAGGCTAAACATTAGGTTACTACCAAGGAGCCAAAATAATACCTCAACAATGGTGCATGTCTCACTATGAACTAATGTTAAATAGGAAATATAGTTAAATAGCTGACCTGTCTGTCCTGTCCTGAATCTGCCTCTGTTTCCGTTCTCCTCCACCTAGCCCAACTCCTTCTTCTAATACAATAAACTCCTTTCTTGTTTACTTCCTGGTAGTCTGCATCCTTGGGTCCAACTTCTCATGCCTCGTCCTAACAATATGGGCTTGTTCAACAATGTTTTACAATTTTGCTGACCACACTTTTGTGTGCAGCCAGATGTTATTGGACACATTGTGGAGGAGAGGCAGAATACATTGTTAGAGGGAGGAATACATGGTGAGCAGATGGAGTCGGGGCTGGCTTTTACAGATATATTCATATCTGTAGCCACACACTGAGGACGCAGAAATTACACTGGCAGGAAAATAGAGCCCCAGAAGTTACAGGTTTCAATCTGCATTCCTAAAATCTGCAGGTATTTGCATGAGGAGCCATGATTGGCTTTCTTGTTTGTGGCATCATACATTTTGTTTGCCCATCCATGTTTGAACCTCAGATTTCAGGGTTGCAAACAGACATCCGCCCCCTTCAGCAGAGGAAAGTGAAAACTGCCTGTTAGTGTCAAACTATGCACCTATACCAGTCAGTATAGTAGAAGACAGGTATTAATTGGCTCTAAAAATAAGAAAGCACATTTATGAGTGAAAGGTGTTTTTAATGGGGAAATGGCACACATCTTCAAGCTGTCTCTCCTGGTTCTGTAACAAATGTACAGAGAAAGCCAGAGAGAAGCTTAAACCTTGGCCCCGTCTCACCTACAACTTGCTAATCATGGCATGAAGTGGGTGTGCATGTAGGATCTTCAGTTTTGGAAAGTTACACAAATGACACAACCCACCAGTTGTTTTCACAGTGTGCTGGAATCCCATCAGTTTCAGAAATGAGTTTGTCATGCATTCACTTGTACATTTTGTGTGGGTGTCTCATATCTCCAGATGTGGCCATCGGCTGTTTTTATAATTATATATATATGTAGCACCTGAACACATATCTTCCAGTCCACAACTGTCCTCTTCACCTTCCCCAAATGCATCTTTGTTCTCTTGGAAAGGTAAGAGCTTTAATACAAGATATTTGATCATGTCACTCACAGCACAGAGGTAATAGTGCTTTCTCACTCACTGTGTTGACCATAGCCAGTTCTCTCTCTTCTGGTGGTAGAATTTGTTAAATGTGCCTCTAAGATGGCTGAACTGTCTATTGTAAGTTGAAGAATCTGTGATTCAGTATGGCTCTGACTGCATTACCTTGAACATTGGGCAGCTATATTCACTAGGCTTTGGGGAAAAAAGAGAAACAATTCTGACCCAAATCAGAGAGAGTGAGAGAAATAGTAAAAAAAAAAACAACAAAAAAACATTTTGTCACTTTAAACAAATGCTAAATGGACAGGTCACCACTCTGTCACAGGGCTGACACATAGAGACAACCACATACACTCCTACAGGCAACTTAGTCACCAGTCAACCTAAGCTGCATGTCTTTGGACTGTGGGAGGAAGATGGCGCAACCGGAGAGGTCATATAAGGAAAAAGAAATGTTGTTTTAAATGACTGATTACATCAGTCTGTCCATAGGTTTTTGAAAACAGCCTTCCAAAATACTTTGCTGGGTTTTATTTTTAAAAAAGCCGAGTCAAGCACTGTGTTGACAGAGTACTAACTCTACTATTTAGGATATGTAATTGGAACTCGTGTTTATCCATCACTGCTTGTGGGCAGAGTAATGTCTAAAACCAACAACAAAATAAAAGTCAGGTAAATAAGAGGAGTCGACAGCATCTCGAAGCCTCAGTGGTTTAAACCACTGACGCAAGCAACAGCTTGGTACATTACAACACTGTATTATCCAGAAATCCAGTTCATGTGTCATATTACAGTGTTTTTAACAGCTAACAGCAGATAAATGACTCATATAGAAAAACCAGCTTCTTTAAATAAATATTTTATTTGAAAATAAATACATTTTCTTAAAATAGAATCAATAACATTACAAAAGCTTTGGGGGAGTGGAAAAGAAGGAGGAGGGAGAAGGGGTTTACCCAAATGAATGCGTAATTTAGAACAAGGAGTACAGTCTCAAACGTTTATCTTTCTTAAGACAAGTTCCCACAAAGTGTTGTACTGTACATTCTCAGCCACTTTATAGGAAAGCAGTGGTATCCTGCACGCTTGCTTCAAAATGCAGTCTACTTGGTCTTAAAGCTTCAGGCCCCTGCACCCAAAAACATTGGTATACTGTATCTACACACTCATTTGTAAAAGCACAGGATATAATCTCTTGTCAACACATCAAAATCAGCCACTGATTTACATATACATCTGACAATGTTTTTTTCAAAAGTACCTTAAACGTGTCTAGATCAACTTCACTGCTAGTCTACAGTACAAAGATACAATACACAAGAAGGCTGCGCTTAGTGACATAGTAGTAATCAGAGGTCACTGTCTCGCTAAGGCCAGAAGTATCTCCATGTGACCTGTGAGGCTGTGAGTTTCTCTGGGTGCAGTTTGCCAGGCAGAAAGTCAAACAGTGCAGAAACTCACTGGCACTTCTCTGCCTTTAGAACAGTACTTCAGTGCCCATTGTTTGACTTGCGAGCTAGGGGATGGCAGATCTCCAGAGAGACAGGGGCAGCAGCACAGTTGGACTGGAACAGATTAACACAGTGTACCATCTCAGCCCTGACCTCTCTGCCACCTCCACAAACAGCATTATGAGTGCAGGAAGTTTTCCCTCAGCCGGCCTACAGTGGCAAAGCAGCAGCCTTGACAAGACCCTAATTACCAGCTGCACAGAAAAAAAAGAGAAAGGAAAAAGCGCCACAGAATATGTCTTTTTTATATAATTATTGAGTAATTGGTGAATGTGCTGGCTGACCTCAATTAAGACAAGTGTGTAAGAACATGTCATTTCAATTTAATCAGTAGAAAAGCAGCAGTGTAAGCTAATCTATGGCAAAAACAACAACTTTGCAGACTTCGTGCTCCTCACTCACTTTTCCTGCCTAATGAAATCAATCCCACAGGTAGCGGCAGCTTCAAATGATTATAGTAAGCACTGTCAGCGAGTGCTGTGTCCACACATTGTGTCCACTCGCCAAAATCTCTCTTCCCTCATTCCCTGCACGGGACTCCAGTAAACCTCAGCGCACCAGGAAATGGTTTGTGGAAGAGGGTGCCATTCGATGGGTTTTAAATGTCTCACTGCACTCATCACACATATACACATAAATAACACACAGGCATAAATTCTGCAATCACTGTAGCTTCTTTCCTTTTTACTATCCTGATTAAAAAAGAAAAATCAAACCTCAGATCTGTGCCCAGCAGCTTCTGATTGCTGCATCTTTGCTTGATTTTCTTGAGTACAAGTCACAGTTAAATTGATTCTCATATATGAATACATTTCTCCACTTCTACTAAGCAGTGACCCAAGATTTGTTTGCAATGACCATCAAAATGTCTGACTTGGAGCACTGAGACTTGAGAGCCATACTCTACAAACAAAAGCTCTGTTTAAGCCAACACTCTAAGCAATGAATCAGTTACAGCTAAGCGATGCAAAACATTAAGTGATAGCAGATTCTATCAGTCAGGTAAATGACGCTGAAAGCTGAAATGATCAATGTAACACAATCCACCTGATCAATCTGAGACAAATCCCATCACATCACCAAGGAATTCTGCATAACCTTGCTTTCCTGCTCTTCAAGGATTTTTTTTTTGTAGGAAGAGCCAGCCTTCAATATGCACACACATACAAAAAAAAAAATCATTCTTGACTCTAAATCCCTTTATCCCCTTCATCCTTGTATAATCAAATTCAGAGGACAAAATTTTAAAAATCTGTAAAACATCTGCTACTGGTTGAAGGTGTCATCAGAGATAAAATACATTTTATCACAGAATCTAGCAGACCCAGTTGGACAGTCTTTCCAGGTTGCCTACCCCCATTGTGTTTATTAAGCTCCCAATTATCCCAAAGCCTCTGCACTGCAGGCACATGTGCTGAGGGCCAGATGGGTACAGACAGAACCCGCTGCATCAGGATGCTGTAATTTGGCCAAAGATAACAGATCGTACTGGCGCCAGCTCAAAGAAGAGAAACCTGGCGCTCTTGCTGTGTTTTCTCTCATCACAATTCTTCATCAACTCGCAGGCAGGTCAGTGTGAAGGTGTGCTAGACACTGTCATATACACAGACACAAATACACTCAAACAGAACAGAGAGATTGTCTCCTCTTGTCGTGCTACCGTAGCCATTCAGTCATTCTTTGGGGTGTTCAGTCCAAACTAACAGCCCAGCTTTCAGCCGCTTCGCTCAGCAGCTCACTGTGCTTGGCTGCTGTTTGCACACAAAGTCTGATATGAAGTCAAACTCGTTCTGTCCCAGGAAGAGCTCGGGCAGCTCCTGAACACGATCCAATCCAAACTCCAGCACCAGTGAAGTCAGAACCTCCTCGTCAATCAGATCCATGTCTGTGCCATTTAACCCCAGAGGGCCGCCAATGTGCTGCATGCCTGATAGCTGGGCTGGACCCACCCGATACTGGGCACCATTGGGCAGGTGGTGTCCGTTGGCTGAGCCGAGTGGGTGTCCATGATACTGAGTGTTGAGTTTCTGCAGATGCATGCTGGCCATGAGCTGCTGGGAGGTGAGGTTACCAGGGAGGTACTGCTGCAGGTGTCCACCTTGCTGCTGCTGCTGCTGCTGCTGCTGTTGGGGGTGCATGTGGTGGTGGTGCTGCTGCTGTGGGCCCTGGCCATTGTACATCATGTTCCCAGATATCATTTGGTGGTGGTGGTTGGCCATGGGAGCTCCGTTCACAGGGCCGCCCATTCCTCCTGGTCCCACCATGCTTTGCCTCTGTCTCATGGCAGCCTCCATGTTGTTTTGAGGGTTTCTGCCATAGTGCATTACCTGGCCATTAGGCAGAGCGCGCAGGCCGGGCTGGCCGTTGTGCTGTGGAGGTCCATTCATGCCCATCCTGAAGCTGTGGGTCATGGGCATCATCATGTGTTCAGCCATGGCTGCTCTCTCACTCTGAGAAAGACAGTTGTTAAAATAAAACACATCAATTTTTTGAAATACAACCAGTAGTCATTACAACCTAAATACATTTAAAATATCCACAATTTAAAGGGGTACTCCACCAATTTCACACATGAAGCTCCCTGAGTACTACTCAGCCTGTGAAAACTGCTGCATAATATCTTTTGTGCTTCTGGAGGGAGCTTTCTAAAGTTCTAGGGGTGTAATAATGCAACCAGCTCATGGTGTGGTTCAATACACAATACAAGGCTTACACTTACAGTAAGAATGAAAGCTAGTGTCACAGTTATTTATTTATTCTGTTCTTTTTTTCTCTTTTCAAACATTTTGTTTCTTATTCAAATATTTCCATTATTCAGTATTAGTGTAACTGGATTAGTATGGCTAATGTAATGTGTGGCTACTGGCTAGTGTAGTTAGCCCTAGTAAAATCGGAGTCAACAACAGGTCAGTCAAGAAAACAGCTCTGGACTATTGACCCTTCTTGTTAACATAAATCCGTTACATGGGAGTCTTGACTTGATATTGGGATCCATTTTTCTGTTTCACGACGCATATTGTCACATTTTTTAATCACAATACATTGTTAAAAAATACTGCCAAAAATACCAATTCTTTTCCAGCTTGGGGACAACTCCCAATCATAAAAACAAGACTAAAACACAACTGAAACATATTTTCACCACAAGACAGCTGAATGTGCATGACCTGTGTTCTGATGATCTATGCTGCCGTAGCACAAATTGAACCCTAACCCTAACAGAGCCCAAGATTGTGGGCCTGTGCACACACAGAACTGCTAAATAACATATTGATACTGTAGTGTGCTGGGGGTAGGGAGGGGCACCAGCAGAGCGCCTGCCTGCCGCTATGGACAGAGACTGTGTGTTCCAGTTACTGTTATGTTAATATTCTGTTATAGGGCGTTGGGCCAGGACACCATGACTGAGGGTTCTGGTGGAACTAGTGGGTTTCAGCCATCGTGTGTGTGTGTTAGGAATAAAAAGTCGCTATCCAGGGTTGTTTGGGGTATGACTCTGACTCTGCTACAGTATCTCCAACCTTCATTACACTGGTGTTAGAAGTGAGATCAGATGACGATGTTGCTACAGGGGTTTAAAACACGACCCAAATTGAAAGTTCCTGCAGCTGCTGGAGGATTGCCTGCCAAAACGAGACCCCTGATGGAGCCAGTGTTCCACACACAGAAAACTCCAGCTTGGAGCCAGAGGCCAGGCACCAAGGGGCGCTGAAGCTGCCACGCTACAATGAGGACAAGCCACTGGAGATGTACCTCATCCAAGTGCAGACAGCAGCACAGTTTATCTCCTGGCTGATCAAGGAGACTGCCGCCTGTTTTACCCTTGCTCTGGAGGGCAGGGAGCTGCAGATCCTCGCTGCAGCTTGAGGTGCGACTCGACTGGTCTGCCATTGAGAGGGCACTGCAGCACAGGTTTGGCCAATGCATGTGCTGTGCTCCCCCAGGCTGGAACACTGAGTGCAGCAGGCGGACGTAGAGGAAGTAGCCAGCCAGGGCACTGCTGCAGCACCACCACAGAAAGGAAAGAGTAGAGCAGCTGAGCGACACAGGTATCAGATGCCATGCCTTAGTGGTCAGGGGGTCCATCATCTCCCTGGCACACCCAGGGGCAATGCCGGGTACAAATGGTCCAAGACACCGGAAGTGGGGGCCACCAAGCACCACATCACCACAGTCAGAGTGGTGAGATTGTAACGATGTGGGGAGAGAGGATGCTTAGAGTGACTGTTGCTGGCTGCACCACTGAGCACTGGTTGGGGTTGGGCAACATTCAAGATCCATGCATCTTTCCCTGGTGGTGTGTACCAAGACCAGGCATCCATTTTAATCAAATTAATTTCTTATGTCACCCAGCTCTACAAAGATGTCATCAGGATTGTCTTGAATAGGGATTGCTACTTAAATCTTTATGTGTGTATGAGCTTGTTTTTCTATACTGGTGTGGCCCAAAATCCATGGGTTACTTTCTCCATGGGGACCAGATGCAAGTTCAAATTCTACAAATTTTACAAATATTATGGGGTGTAAGGTTAAAGCAGGTGTCGGCTTTGGTTAAGTGTTAGGCAAGCAGGAGTTCTGGTTAAGGTTGGGGTAAGTCTCCTGGAAATGAATGTAAGTCTAGAGATCCAGTAAGTGATGAAAACAAGGAGGTGTGTGTGTGGGTGTGCCTTTGTATTACTTATATCATGAGGACCGAAACCTGTTAACACACTCACACTATGGGGACTCGGCCATCCTTGTGGGGACCAGAGGCTAGTCCCCACAAGGAATGAAAACACAGCATGTGTGTGTGTGTGTGTGTGTGTGTGTGTGTGTGTGTGTGTGTGTGTGTGTGTGTGTGTGTGTGTGTGTGTGTGTGTGTGTGTGTGTGTGTGTGTGTGTGTGTGTGTGTGTGTGTGTGTGTGTGTGTGTGTGTGTGTGTGTAATGGCACACAAGTCTCCATTACAAAGTGCAGGACTGAGTTTCAAAGATGTGAGCAGAAAGGGTTTAATAAAAGAAATATTACCCGGTTGCATTATGGGGAATGCAGTGTTTTTGGAGCTTGACCAACACAAGACACTAAGAGTCTGGATATCTCTGCTTTGGTTCAGACCATTTTTTCTTCAGTCTTTTTCTGATGAGTCTCCCAGTTGGACAGAATTGCTAAGTGAAATTGCTTGAGTACCCATTTAAAACAATCTAATTAAAAAAAGAGAAACAAACCTCCACTCTCATGACAACACACCTCTTTTCTCTGTTGAAACTACTCTCATCCACAGTTTCTCTTTCTCATTCGAACGTTTCCAGTCAAATGAGAAGTGTCCCCATAAAAAAATCTATCCACCTCAAACCTCCAAGATTACACCATCTGTGAACTGCCACTTCATATCACAGGGACAAGGGAGGGGAGCAATGCCCCTGCAGCCAAAGGACGCAGAGGAATCCTTGTCCAGACCACACACAACCCCCACAGCCCCTGCCTCCATCTTCACACTGTCATTACAAAAGATCTTCAATTAAGATTACCTACAGATGACAAACAGATACTGTTCACACTGAAACTATAATTTGCTGTCAAAGTGATTGGCTTGTTAAAATTAATGACATTATTTTTTAAGCTGCGTCCAAATGGGACCATCATAAAAACACATCCAGAGTACGCATGTAATGAATGTCTGTGAAAAACAAAGACATTTCAGCCTTTCAAAATCCCCCAGAATGAACTCTTACGGTGCCCCTGGCTGCTTGTAGCAATTCAGTCCTTTTACTGCTGATAAAACAAGACAGTTTCCTCAATGACATAAATCTACCATAGCAAATGCTGCTCTTATGTCTTATCTTTGGAGGCTCTTTGCAGATCTGGAGTACATTCAGCCAAATGCCACTTTGTAAATAAATAGTCTGACGGAGTATAATAATTGCTGGCATTATTACACAGGCATGAGACCATTTTTTATCTTCGGGGAACGTGCATGTGAGCTCTTTGACATGATTCGATACCTAAAGTGCTACAAATGTAACAGGCACTGAGACTGCAAGCAAACAAAAGTGACAGGGTGAAATAAAACAGAAATGACTGCCTGCCTCCAATCAGCCTGTTTTTTATAACATAGAGAATATTAGAAAACAGTCAGCAGTACAAAGGGAAAGTGCTGCCTCTTCACCTGTTTTAGGAGTAACAGAAGACTACACCTACCCGATGTATTAATGTGGAATCCGAACAGAGAAGTTGGATCAGTGCCAGGGTCGTTCCTCCAGCTGATGCTCCGGCTACATGCAGCCCTGCGGCGGATTCTAACTCTGCGTCGTCTCGGCAGTCAGAGGAGTTTGTTTTCTGGGTCAACTCGGGGATTATACACATCTATAAGGCACAGAGAGAGAGGCGTGGAGAGAGAGGGCTAGGGAGAGGAGGAGCCACCCTCCTTTCTGTCTCCTTTGTTGCCATTGGTCCTCCCCCTTAATCACTGTGCAAAGAAACATTCACTAACTACCTCCACGGATCCCCACTCAGCTGCGCACGCTATTTCCTAAAGAGATTTCACTACTGCCTGCTATCATTACCCTTACACTATTATACGTAATGATCCTTACTGCCTTAACTGAAAGCTTTCTGTTTAAAGAGCAGCAGGGAAGGATTCTTCAGGCTGTAGGCTCAGTGGAGCCACTTCTGCTGTCAAGAAAAATCCTTTTGACAGGATGTTTTAAATCATTGCACCAGACTGGATCTATATATAACACATGGGGCTCTATGAATATATGTAATAATAGGTGTGTGATATAAAACGGTCAAGATTTAGACATGATCATTTAGTTTTTTATTCAAATAAAACATTTTGTGTCTTACACATTTGGTTGCATTAAGTGAACCCTTTTTCCTTTCTTTCTTTTCTTTGCTGGCATAAAAATGCAACAACAGTCTACTACAGGCCTTAAAGGTGGGGTTGGTGGTGTAAGAGGAAGCTTTATTTTGAAAGTAGACTACTCTTTCATTCTGACTTCTCTCCAAAGCCACTCCACCAAAACACAACGTGCACTGCAATGCAAAATGCCCCCCAAATGCCCCCAAACAAAATAAAACCCATAATCACTTGTCCAGCAGAAATACCCCCACTACGGTGACACTTTTCAGCCTCTTTTGTTCTTTCAGTTGTCTCCACTATTCAAAAGCCACACCAGTGTTAATTCTGGTTTTACTTCTTGCAGCATCCAGTTTCTTTTTAGTTGTAACTTTCTCAAATACAGTGTTACCCACCAAGATCCGTGGCCCCGAACTGTAGTTGGGGACCTCTGGTCTATGGCTAAACTGCTTTAGTCATGGCCCGTAGCTGGTAACTAGTGTTAGAAGTCCAGGCTTTTTCAGCTAACTCTATATTTTCCCCACTCATGGCTGCATGATAAAGGAGTCTGCTCCATGCGGTGGTCTTCTCACTCTCACTTTGCAAACAGGTAGCAACATCTGGCAACAACAACAACATTACCTATAAGGCTATATGTCTTAAAGGGGAAGGCCTGGCCTGTAACAACAGTCTCCGTTTGCAAATGAAAGCTGCTGTGGGTACCTTCTCAACCATAGTTTGCTATCTTTAGCTATCAAAACAGAGCAGTAACATGTCTGCCTGCAATAATAAGTAGGAAGTAGGCTGACAGGAAGGCCATCCAATGGTTTTGCTTGGGACAAGTAAAAATATTGGACAGGCCCTGCTGCCACAGATGATGGATTTTTGTCTTTATGTTGTCAGTGCATTTAATGCCATATCTGACTGCCTATGGAAACACCATTGAGGACCTAGCCAGCCACACAAGAATGAATTGAAATAATAATAATAACAATATTTGTGCAACAGTAAAATTGCACTATTTCTTTGAAAACTGCATGGTTATGTTAAATTCCTTCCAGCTTGACTTGAACAGAAGCTTCTCCACAAATGCTGACCAAATTAAAAACTGGTTTATTCACAATTTTGTGAAAAAAAAATCAAGTCTGACTCACCTTGAGGGAACAAAATCAGATTTCGATTTAGCAGGTAACCTAAATGTAGGCATAAGACAGGGGGTGGCTGAGGTATATCAGGACACAACAGAACTAAATATTTACAGATATAGGCCCACATTTTAATAAAGGCATTGGCAAATTTGCTAAATGTTTATACTGAAGGTATCTGAAAACATTTTTTGATCGAATATTTCACTTTCTTTCTGCTAATGGCAACTAAAGCATGATTAATAGTTTCGTGGTTATGTTTAGGCAATTCAAAGCACTGTCTTAAGGTTAGGTCTATGCTTATGCCTTTTGAAGATGTGTCCAAAATCACATCATTCCCTAACGTTAAAGCTGCATCAGCTGCTTTCTGGAGACAGGAGGAAGGTTTTTCAGTGTTCTGGGTCTATGGGCCATAAAACCAAAACAATGAGCTACGAGCAGTAAAAGTTCTCTTTGGGTTATGGTTCTCTGAAGATAAGTACAGTATGAATGCCTCGGCAGGTCTGCACAGAGAAAGGTGTTATGGGTGACCACAGGTCACTAAGATTTGCAGGGGAGCTGAAAAACACACCTCCCACTTCTTCTACATGCCCCAGCTGATGTCAGGGGGAGACAGAGGAGTATGAGGTTTAATGTGACTGTACTTTACACTAAAAATTCACCCAAGTATTAAAGAAACACCCCAATGACTTGGAAAAACATTTTTCAGTGAACACAATCAGCAGTTATGCTCTTTTCATAATGTAGAGGCAAAGCCACATTCTAATATACTGTACTTTTTATTTTCAGGAAACAGGATTGTACAGGCCCACTAAGCCAAAACTAAAAGCCTGATGACCCGCGCTCATAGTGACAGAATTCTAACATGGGAGAAACCCCACTTTCCTCCAGAAGGACTCCTGGTTTTTATGGAATTTACAGTTTAGAGAACTTCAAAAATATGTGAAAAGCATATTTGTACACTTTGAACTTTCTGTGCTGCTCCAAAGGGGAAAACCAAACCATCAGGTTGTGCTGTTTGGTGATGTGCATCTTCTGTAGGTTCCCTGTAATCTGCTCCTCATCTCTGCTTGAAGCTACAGTAGCACCAGGTTTTAACATTGAATATAATAAATAATACCTGTGGTTCTGCTGCATCATGCCATTGTCTTGAAGCTTGGTCCAGCTGCTTAAATGATGATGTCTTTAAAGAGAATAACATCTACCTTGTAATTGCCAAACACAGCTATAATGGTCACTGTTCAGCAAACATTACATAGTCTAACCTTAACTTCAGTTTTCATTATCGATGTTGGGGTAAACTCACTCTCACAATTATTTCACTATTTTTACCTGAAAAACACAGTTTGTATTGGTCCACCTGTGATATATGTTTCCAGATTTTTAAAATCACCAATGTATACATTTCCTTCGAGATAATCCTGAACAAAAAGCACACTGTATGCATGAAACTGTTGGTCTTACTTGACTTCGAAGGTGTTAGTTCAGTGTTCACCTGTAATTTGGTTTATTTGCATTAATCAAAAGAACAAGGTCAAATTAGTCTTTTCACTTAAGGCAACATCTATCATATGCCACACTGAAGCAAGTGTCTGAAGCAGGATGGAAATGAAACCACCTCCACTGAGCTTCACAGCGAGCACACACACCAGACCTCCCTCCCTGTGTGGAGAAAGTCAGGCCCCCTTAGCAAGAGCTGGGTATGTATTCCTGTTGACACACACACACACACGCACACACACTCTCTGCTGTAGAGGAATGTGTCCTATTTTGGGGGCCGTAAGTCAGCCAGACCTCCGGTCTCTTTCTAATGCTTGATTCACTTGGCCATTGTGTTTTTTTGGAGGGGGGGGGAGGATGCTGTATGTTTTGGTCTGCAGCCACAGCCTCCTCCCTTCATTTATAAGGAGCTGTTGTTCTCTGCAGTCACAAGAACATGGCTTGAATCAGGCTTAGGCTGTTTATTCTGACAAATACAGCTTGACTATCATTTTTCTTACATTTCCAGCAGTGGAATGGAGTAAATACAGTTATGAGGGACTTGTCATGTACTTGACTAAATATATTTTGTGGTGCTTTATAATTCATTAAGGTTTATAAGGAATTATTGTACCCCACTTATTTAACAGCTATAGTTTGTGGTTACTTTTCAGATTTGAATTTTACATGGAAAACTTATGATTCCTTTATAAAATATGATACATTGCTATAGTACTCAGTGGTAAACTATATAAAGAAGGACAAGAAATAATTTGACATTTTGGGACATGTATTTGTTTAATTGACTAGAGCCAGATGAGAAGGTTGACAACACTCATACATCTGTACAGTAAAGAAGACGCTACACATTTGCAGCAAGAATGTGTATTTCAAAAATGTTCCAACAGTTTAATAGTAATGGTAGGATACTGTACTAATTTAATGCTGAAAGGCCACAAAGAGAACCCAAGTGTACCGTACCTTTTCCTGTACTGGAATAGTTTTATAGTGTGGCATTGCTGCAGTGACATAAAGGGAAACAGGCATATTCACTTTATGAGAGAAAATTACAAGGCCATTGATTTAGTTCAGGTTCGGTTGTAATTTACACACATATGTTTGACACATACAGGAAGATGAACGGTGCTCGGCTCAACTTACATCATAGAACAGACATATAAACAGTGTTAAGGGTAAGCTCTTACATTAGCAGCAACAACCTGGATGTAAACAAAATCTTTTTGTGGCAAACCTAACATTCTGGTGGAATTTCAGCAAAACAGTCTTTAAATTTGCACAGCTGAAGGCACCAACTTTAAATGTCCAAATATTGAAGCGTAAAAATGAGAAAATGCTGTTTTATTGGGGGGTTATGTGCTGGACTGTTTCTTGGTCAGAACCAGTTGCCAGGCAACAAGTATAATCGCCTGGTTAGCCTCCAAGTTAGTGGTGGAGTTTACTACCTTTGGACAGAGCCAGGCTAGTTGTTTCTTCATTCCCAGTGTTTGTGTTCATATAGACTGAGGTGCAGCAGGAGCCACTGCGTCCATACGGCGACGTGTGCCGCTGGGATGTCACGCCTCCTAATGCATGTACAATATGTGTGACGACAGGAGGTCTGTCCACATTTAAAATAATCATAACTCAGTGAATTTACATCTGATATTCTGTCTGTTGGGTTTGTTACAAATCCCAGACATGTTTATGATACTAGGTTAAATTAGAAATGTGGATTTTGATATCAAAACACTTGCAGATTGTTACTAACATTTCTAATATTAGTACTTCTAATAATATACTACTAATATTTGTACAATATATTTAGAATGAACATGTACAGTACTTGTAATTATAAAAAAAATATGAAACCCTTTGTTCACATTGTAAAATGGCTTCCATAATAGCATTTTGTATATAATTTTGGAAATAATGAATAAAAATACATAATT